TTCACGTTACAAAGTTAACTCAGCAGACTTTTACCCCAGGTGAGGTTGGAGAACCAAAACTAAAACAAACAATGAATAACAATTGACAATATGATTGGAATACTATGTCGAGAAAAGCTAAATAAGAAAGCTGTTCCGCCAACATTTTATTATATTCAGCACCATATCCCAACTCCATTTACAGCGTCATCCCTATAACGGGGCCACAGACCCAAAAGAGTTTTACGTATACTAAAGAAAGGCCCATAGTATCATCTGGTAACTACGCGTATGGAAAAAAAAAGAAAAAAAATTGATATAGTAGAACAACCAGCTTGTGGGAACTCCCCAACGAGAAGCCTCTTAATTCCATTTGATTAGGTATAACATGCACAGCTACTATTATTAATATAACGATAAAAAAATATCGCTACTGACACTTGATTCGGGTTGTCATTTTCGCATTCATTACTATTTTGATCACGGACCAAATCAGCCACAAAAATTAGCGGCAAAATAGGTCAGCTCGCGAAGTGGCATACCAGTTTTACAGATAATGATTTTCTAGATACCAACATTTGTCATCTCGACTATTTTGTTTCTTTCGCCATTGTGCTAGTGCGGTGTTGCCGAGTCGAGTAGTCCGCGCATTGAGATAACGTTGTATTGATCTTTGAGTGCCAATGTATATTGGCAGCCTTCAGATAATCTGAGAGATCCTCAGCTCACGAGAACACTTCCAGAGTGTGTGCTTGTAGGTCAAGGCGTGTGTTCAGCGCAGCTACCTTGGCGAAGGACAGGTACGAGGAAGACTTGCAGTGCTTGGAACGGGTTAAAAGTAATAATGAATTGATATTGAGTATGTGTTGTTGTGTAGGGGAAAGCTTCGCAAGCAGTAAAAACCCCGGAGACCTAGACTGGCTATACTTCCTCCCGTTAAGGGCGGGTGCACTCGTGCACGACTCCAAGATGTCCTCAGATCTTCTTTCCAAAATTTTTCACCATGTCATTGCCAGTCACAACCAACACCGGTACCTAACTGTCGTACTCAGCATCCTTGCCAGTGACGGTTGCTGCATGTATCGTGACTCCGGCCACAGCCGTTGTCTCTCACTCCCACTTCGCTATGAATGCACAGCAGCCGCACTACTTAGTGTCTTTCATGCAATGATGAACTTACATGCATACACGCAACACAACGGTGATGGTCGCAAGCACCACATTCTCACTGGTCGTAGTTGTGCTCAGCCATTTTACTCACGCATTTCGATGTCAGCTTCGTAGGTTGTCCTATCTCTCGTTTGCCATGCTTTCTCCACGTCCTCAACGTTAAGCTGGCTTCGCAGTCTTTCAAAAACACATGGACCTAGTGCCTTTGTGAAAATGTCCGCGATATTCTCAGCACTCGGCACTTGATCTTGTCTTCTTTGGAAGATGGTTTTGATTTTGCGAATTGCCATTGTTCTTTACTTCTTGGATTGTGCTTTGATTATCGCAGGACAAGGTGGCCTCTTTTTCTTGCGGTATCTGGATGTCTTGCAGTAACTCTTGTGCTTACTTAATCTCTTTCGTGCATCGGTGGGCCGAATTAGTTCTGCTCCACACGTGTCATCTGCTACACTGGTTTGCTTCTTACTCTTCCAGTGCCATACCATGCCATTGAGTCGCAAGACTCGTCCACTGACAGATCGACTCGTTTCAGGACATCCAGCATGATCCGCCTCTGAGTAAGCATCAATCCTAACTCTCGTACCTGTGATATCATCCATTGCGTCACTTCATGCTAAA